TCATGTGCGTGCAATTTCACCAGCACCTTTACCATTTAAAACCGGAACGCAGTAATGCTCACTTTACTGCTTGGCGACAGAAATAGAAAGCAGCTCTATTGCTACTACCCTGGAAGTTAGAAACAAATTAAGGCAAGTCAATGGTTTCGGTAGTTACTATTAAATAATGGTCTTACGAATAATATACGATATACCTAATGATATTGTATGAGGAATGTGCTAACTGGTTACACGGTGGAATTTACTTTATCCTGAAAACAGACTAAAATAAAAATCTAAAACGAATTATTCAGGATTATAATATCTAACTTTGTATTTATTTTTATTATGGAGATATTTCTCTTTCAGTACTGCAGAGAACCTGCTAAATTTTGATTTTCAACTGAAACCCTATCGTTATTAAATTGACATTTATCTCACAATTTGCAATCTGCTCAGCGGCTTAACGATACGCCGCGCTACCCACTGCCCCGTCAGTGGCCTTCGGGTGATTGTCGACGTTGAATCTGTGTCAAATTTTCTTGTTTATGTTAATATACAGCGTCCGGATTGACCTTTAACCCCCCCCCCCATCACCTAAATACTAGTCTCGCGCTAGAAATATCTCGCCTTAAGAATAGCATTTTAAGGAAACTCTGAACAAACGACTGAAAGACAAACCATGGCAACTTTTGGTTTTCTATTCATATCTCAAGTACAGAAAACTATGACGATATAAGATCTACACCTTTCCTATTTCTGCCGCCAAGCAGTAATGTCAGCATTACTGTGTTCCGGTTTCGAAGGGTAAGGGTGCTGGTGAAATTACAGGCACAAAGGACATGTCAACTTATGTCTCAGGGTGATGGGCGCAGTGGCAATGCCCCTCAGATCTTTGCAATTTAAAGCTCTGAGTGGCACAGCAAACTATTATGAACAGCCGTGTTACTTACCATCAGGTGTAGCACTTGTTCGTCCCGTCACTTGATAGTATAAAAAAAAATTTAATTCTGCTTTCAGCTTCAGCTAAAGTAAGTACGTAAATTTTCAACTGTACAAATCGCAAAATACATTTACTTGAGCTACTTTCAATTTAATCACATGTATTTGTGTGTGAACATTTAAGTTTTTTAGAATTTCGTAAGGTTTGAAATAAAGCTTTATTGTTATTACAATATACTTTAAAACCCCGTAAGTAAATGGCAAATTTTGAATATCAACAATAACTCAATTCACTTACGACGCTTTATTGAACAAAATATAGTAGCAATCGCTACAAAGTTTATTGTTAAATTTATCAATGTGTTTCTTGTAATTTAAGTTTTTATCTATATAAATCACTAGTAGTAGATATGTTACCAGTAAAGCGTATAATTCTCAGCTCTAGCTGTGTTTAAAAATCTTTTCACCGCAGTCTTTCTGGACCAGATATAAAAATGCTTAAACAAGCTCAGAATTCAGACAGAAATCGCGTTTAGTTGAAAAACTCTTTTGTACAAAAGTTCTCTTTCAATTTGCAAAGGAAGATCTTTTATTCTCGTTTGCTCACACAGTTTACGATTCCAGACACGTGAACTCTGTATCTGTGACTGAACGTAAATTTATCTGCACATGAATTTGTCGTTTTATTTTCTTTGTCTATATAATATTATGTTATGTTACTATTTTGTAATGTTGGTAGTTTATTAACCTCCTAACACCTGGCAAATTAGAATGAGAAAAGCACTGAACGCGCAATGTACCTTAAAATGTACTAAATATAATTGTAGTAGTGTGTAGAAGTGGAGCTCCTTGTGAAAGAGGTCGTCCAGGGAAGTACTGCCACCTTACCTATTACTGCCGCCAAGCAGTAATGTGAGGATTACTGTGTTCCGGTTTGATAACTCTGTGCGGAAGCAATAGGAAGCGCTTAACGCTTGCAGAATGAAGGAGCGGGATGGGTGTCGTAAGAGAGGGCGCTTGCCCGTTTATTTGCATCAGTTTATAATGTCTTGTAAAAAATCATGGAACAAAAGTTGTTATATAATTATAGTCCTGCGACGTGGTTGGTATTTTATAAATAACCCTTAACTTGAATGTGATATTCTCTTTATAATTAATATACACTGGGCGTTTACGTGTACATTTTGTTTACATTATTTTATGAGTATAAATAGATAAAATATGTTCATGGTCTGATTGTAGTATTTTGTAAAAATAACTAATTTCGTAAAGCCTGTTTTGATAGTTATTGCTATTACTTATTGTATTTACAATTGCTAGTCCGTAGTAATTCTAAGCTGAGAACAGATTTCAGAATGAATGCTGAAACTTTTAATAGGATCGAATAACAGAATTTGGTAATAATTTTATTCAGTGTTGAGAAATATTGAAGGCAAAATTTAAAGGAATATTGTTTTAATTAATATTACATTATATCCGTGAACGCTACGAAAGTCTTCAACATCTGAAATTAGATTAAAAATTATATAAAAATTTTTGTATTAAATTATTTTAATTATAAATAGGTACTACAATGAAAATCTGTATTATTATAAAATCTTGCATAACGAGAGATAATTCAAACTGAAAGTTTACACGATAAAAACGAATATTATGCTCTTCATTATTGTTCAATCGATTGCGTAAAACTTTTTAAAGTTGCCTGCAACATACGACATATTAAAAGTCGATACTATATCAGTTCGAATTCAATTTTTTCCCGTACTAATACGGTTCATTTTGTTAGCAAATAAATAGGTCCTGCCTTCGACCTTAGGGTCGAGCGGCAGGACCACTGGCTTTATTTCAGAATTTATTATTTTTTCAAATTTGAAAAATGTTGATTGTATAGTATAATAATAATAATAATAACGCACACACTCAACATAGCCCCGCGCTAGGGAAACCCTGTGTCGCGGGTGCCATGGACACACACATAGACAACCACAAATTACACCCAAACTCACGAGAGAAATAAATGTAGGCCATACAAATATTTCTCCCGGCCCGGGAATCGAACCCGGCGACCTCAGCGTGGCAGTCCGGTATGGTAACCGTTCGGCCACAGAGGCAGTTAAAAGTATATATACGTGTTCTATTTAGTTCAGTTGATATAAAAGAAATCGTTGATATATCGCACCCTTAGTAATATAAGGGCACAATCCAAAAAAAGTAGATTTTTGGGAAATTTGGGAATTGATAGCGACTTAAATAATAAATGGGATCAAACTTAAATAGCTCCATATTTCTGTTATATTTTTTGTACTATATGGGTCTAACTTGAAAGTGTTTTTTTAACTTGCTTGAAACTTATAGAATTTATTTATATTATTTATTTTTTTTATTGCTATTTATAATACATTTATCAAAGAACAAATCTGCCAAATTTCATATTTATAACTTAAATAATAAGCATGTTATTTGAAAAAATAGGTGTAATGTAGGAATCCAGAATTTTAATACGCGATTTCCCAAAAATCTACTTTTTTTGGATTGTGCCCTTATATTACTAAGGGTGCGATATGTAAAGTACCGATTGGATACAGCAGTTTTCTTGTAAAATTTCGAGGTAAGTTTGTGTTTTTTTTTTTCAATCAAGAACGTTTTTAGGAATCATATTTTCAAGCTGTAAGTAATTAGTCTATACCCTCAATTTTACTATATATTGTTTCCAAAGTAATTAATTCAACACTTTCTCTGTTATGCGGAATGAACAGAAGCTATTATAGATGCCTAATACTACTAGACGAAAATGTATACGCTTCTATAACAAGATTCCGGTTGATATACAAAATTTGCCTTTATTTGCCTATTTATTAATAATTAATTAATTAATAATATATTAATTAATAATTTGCCTAGGTTTAAAACTATAGTGAAACAAAAACTTTATACTAAAGGTTATTATACAACTTCTGCGTACTTGGATGACAAAAATCCGTGGTAGTAACCCGTTTAGCTCATGGAGGTAGTCTCGATCTCTGATGTTTCAAATAGAAAAAAAATATTGTAAATGTTATTTACAAAGAGCAACCCCTAGAGTTTCTTGCTCATTCTTCTCAGGGGAATCTGCCTTACGAATGAGCGGTAGAGTTTAATATTGTGACGATTTCAAGTGTAATAATGCTTACCTATGAAATAAAGATTATTTTGAATTTGAATTTGAATTTGAAAAGGTGATTCCTTTACAGATGCGATTCCCTAAAACGAGTTGTTCTTTCAGTGGTATAGTAATATAGCTGCGTTCCGGTTTCGAAGGGTAGGGGTGTTGGTGAAATTACAGGCATATGCGACTTGTCAACTTATGTATGTATCATGGTGTCGTGCGCAGTGGCAATGCCCTTCAGATCTTTGTGCTTTATAGCTCTTAGTGGCACTGTAAATGTTAGGGACAGGCGTGTCGCTTACCACCAGGCTAATGGCTTGTTCGTCCCGTAACTTAGTTGTATGCCCTAGTATTTCAGTCAACACTTCAGCCATTATCCACATCACCATCACTATCATCATGAATACTATCATAAATAAATAAACAAATATTAGAGAACAACACATACGTTGCTCTAATTGGAAAGTATATAACTAAAGCACTTGTGTTTTGGAAATGGGAAACAATGCCGGTACCACAAACACCCAGATCCGAGATAATATAAAAAAGTGTTTTTTTCTATATTGACTCAGCTGGAGACCTCAGAGATGGCGACACCATGGAAACCGGTGTGGAAGCCACTCGACCATGGAGTTCATCAATTATCATCACCTTTGTCATCATATTTTTTTTGTCTTGTCTAGATGAAGAACCGTAAGCTCAAATATTAAATTTTACAGGTGAGTGTTTTCTATTTTTTGACAAAACTGAAATTATTATAGTGGTTGTGACGCTTGCAAAATTTGATGTATACTTATTGTTTTCATATGTTACTTTTAATGTTAAAAACAAACTTATATGCAAAGTAATCTATTATGTAGATAGATTACGTAGGAGGAGTCGAAATATCCTTTGACTATCTGTTACTATTACAAATCTCAAAATAAATACTCACAGTTCGATTCTGCAAATTCTTGACCCTGCAAAGCAATTTCACTGGATGTCCAACCAAGCCAGTGACATTTCTCGGCGTAGTCATGTCAAAGTACGGTGAGTCATATGATCCTTGCCATTCTTGAAGAAATTCGGCTCGGAAGCGCCGTGATGAAATGTCCATGGTCGTATCGTCGACGGTCGCTTCCGTGCCTGAGCCAGCTGTAAAAAAATTAAAATTTATTTATTAACTATTTTTGATAAAATATCGAGTGACGGGACGAACAAGTCGTGTCTGACGGTAAACTACACGCCTGTCCATAAAAGACGCAATGCCACTCAGCTTTTTTAATCGCAAAGATCTGAGCGCACTGCCACTGCGCCCGTCACCCTGTGACATAAGTTGACAACTCCCAAATTGCACCCCTCATGGAAGAATGGCATAAGTGGAGTTAAGTCAAACACGTTTATTGCTCCATTAGATACAGAAAAGTATAACCCACATCCTTTCCAATTCTTGTAACTCTAGTGACAAATATTGTAGACGAGTTAGATAGAGAAAAGTATAACCCACATCCTCTCCAATTCTTGTAACTCTAGCGACGAAAGTTGTAGATAGAGTGACAAGAATTGGAGAGGATGTGGGTTATATTTTTCTGTATGTAATGGAGCAATAAACATCTTTGACGTAATTCCATTTATGCCATTCTTCCATGAGGGGTGCGATATGTCTGTAATTTAACTTGCAATGTATAATGTGAATTGTGATTAATACGTTTAGTACGAACCGCCGTCATTATGCAAAATAAAAAGCAATTAAATTTGTTCGAAACAATATGCATAATGATACCACAATCGATGATCATCGCCACCATTGTCGAACACATACCTATTTAACTTATCAACCTATACATTGTACATCTACAAATTTACATTATTATGTAAAAAAAATACTATTTTATTTTTTCATAACAATGGAACGTATTTTAGTTAGTCACTTTTTGAAACGAGTCTGACTTCAGTCACACACCTTCATTATTACTTTTATTTCCTGAAAAAATATTAGATTTCTGTTCCACCACGAAACGGACAAGATGAAGTAAAGTCTAATTGAGTGGTTTTTTTTTAAGTGAAAAGATCACTGCACTGAATATTTATTTGCAGGCATTGAAACTTTTTTTTTACAAAAAAACAACCCTTGTGAAAGTATTTATGGTGTTCTAAGCTAAAAAAATTAATCCCCTTTGGGACTCTTAAGGACAAAAGATATACGAAAAACTTTAGGGTTGCCTTCTAGAATACAAAATTGTAGAATTCTAGAATAACGATGTTTTTTAATGTAATTAGCTTCCATAATCATGTAATGACACATCAATTCAATAAAAGCAGAATACATGTCATATTATCTGTGAACATGTATATATTCATATGTATGTCGTGTTTTGTGCTCATTATTCACCATCAGTACTCCAGAAACTGTATCGGCAAAACAGGACTATTGTAACTTACCTTGCATCAATTAAATCTAAAGCAATTTATAAATGTTTAGCGTAAATTTTTTGTAAAACAAAAATTGACAGCCCTGATTCGAGTACCTGCCTAAGGCGGGGTATACACGTATTTCATTTTCCACATTTTTTTGTGACATGTTTCCTCTTCTCGAATGAATACGAAATGAAACACAAATATTCCTATTATGAAAACGTTAAAACGAAACATGTTCTATAAAGACTATATTTTGTTCCTTCATTACACACAGCACAATGAATCAATGAACCCTATTGTCGTATAAAATAACTAAGTATTAATGATAAACCGTCGACATAAACAAAAGGTCACCACAACCAACGATAAATCACTAACATATATATTTTAAAATTTATTAACAGACATCCATTATTCACATGGAAAACCACGTTTGATAATTTACGATAGCCAAATATATAAGTTGTAACGAAAGGGTCAAACAATATTTGAGCTAGTGATCATATTCACGATAATAAACTAATTTTTATATAAATAAAATTGGCATAAGTAATGTATCGAAAATAGTGAATAGCACAAACTTAGGGAGATCTAATCAGAATGTAGATGATGACGAAAACAAAATACTGGCAAGAGTAAAAAATGTCAACAAGAAAAAGGTTCCCTGTAATATTCCTCGTCCGCGAACATTTTGCATGGGGAGTGAAATTTAGTTTTTTATCATAATGAGCACAAATACCAGTTCAAGTAAGGTCTGACATTTTTGTTAAGCTGTGTATACATAAAACAGAGCAAGAACACGTATATTACAGCATAATGTTGTTATTACAAATATATGTAAGTATTCGGTGTACAAAACAATACTTGGTACATTTCAGAATGTTGCTGTGTTTTAATCCCCGAGTATTATGTAGGCATGTTATGGAGCTCCGACTTCGAATAGCCGGAAGTTCTGGTTCTAATTTTACCTCTAAATCCGATTCCGGTTCAACATCATAATCATGTTACGACATGTACCGGATATTGAACACGAAGATTAATCGAGTTTTAGTAACGACACTACCTAAATACGACTGACGTTTTGTAGTAGTTATAATCTATGCAAAGTCTGTACTATACTTATTTTTGCTATGCCAATCCGGTTTACTTCTCCGCCTCCGATTAATCCGCATGCTTCTGTAACAACCCTAATCCTGACCATTCATCTCATCCTATCTAACAGTCACTCAGTTTCATTCAAAGGCAGTGTACCGTAAAAGAATAAATATTACACAACCCCCATTGTAGTAAGCCTCCATCGTATGATTTACGACAAGATCGTGTTGAAGAAAACTGTAATACGACAGGATAAAAAGGGTTAAGTGTTATACGCTAATTTTACAGGAGAATGCGTTTGCGTATTTCGCACAGATGGGTTTTGTTGGACTTTTCGCGGGGGAAAGTTTTTGCTTTAATCTCTTTTATGCGGTGTTGGGTATTTACCTTACATATTACAGGACTGGCAGAAGTAAATTATTTACTGTGTTACCGTCCAAAATTCATCTCTATATTTCATAAAATTTAGCTTGATTAGAACGATAGGTCGGTGAAATTAAGACGACGTAAATTTGTAACAGCATCCTACAAAAGACGTCCACTGATGAACATAGCCCCCCAAAGAACAATACTAATATATGTATATAATAACTGTGGATTCCCGCAATTAGACGATGACGAGAGACACCGTCTAATTGCTAAAGCAGGCTCCTGGTCCCCCAAAAAGCGATGAAAAGGCCTATACTCGGAGTTTCACTGCAAAGGAACCAGAGTAACTAACACAGCCCAAAAAATTGCAAACTTAAGTAGCAGTACTCGCAGAACAGATAAACATTAACATAAGGTAATTCCAATCCATAAATCATTGATGCGTTACTGTTGGAGTTATTTTTTAGCATTACTGCGTTTTAGTTTAGAAGGGTAAGGGTGCTGATATAATTACAAGCACATGGGACTTGTCAACTTATGTTTCAGGGGGTTACCTATTAGTAGTCCGAAATGACACTATCCAGAAATAACGTTTGCTGGAATTTTCATAACCTCGAAAGTAATATTGAGAAGAAAATGTTTTTTCTTTTAAACCTAACTTAACCTTTTTTTGCGTGGGGAAATCCTCCTAGGATATCTCTCCGCCGCGGGGGAAACGGGAGGTTATGCAGGACTTCTACCGGCTAAAACCCCACGGTAGCCTTCTCGGGTGCTTTAGTGGGAAGGATGCGAGCTACGTCCTCCCCCTCCTCTCCTCACGACGAAGCGGCCCACACCGCCCCGTCGTCCTCCTCGCGGCTTCCTAACTTACTGGCGAACGAAGCCCCCGCTCCGATCGCCCGCAGCCGCGAAACCTAACTTAATCTAACTTAACATGTCCTGAAAAAACAACGGTTTCCTTATAATCCGGTTTTTGGTGTAATGAAACTTCGTACTAACTTTAATTCGGAAAAAAATTCGAGTTTGTGACCGTTTCAGTGGTACTCAGATTTTTGTGATTTAAAGTTCAGAGTGGCTATTATGGACAGTTAAATCGCTTACCGCCGGGCACATTTTGTTCATCCCCTCACTTGGTATTATCCTTACCTTTCTAAACCGGAACGCAGTAATGCTCACATTACTGCTTGGCGGCAGAAATAGGTAAGAAGGCAGTACTTCCCGAGACGAACTCTTTCACAAGAAGTTTTTTGTCGCTACACAAAAACTATTAGCACAAACATTTCTTGCTTGTACTACCCTGAATCATTATTTCAGACGGTGGTACTAGTGGGAATAAATGTCCAACTAGTACCAACACTAGTACTTTTTGGTGATACTAGTCGGAACGAAGGATAATCGCAGTGCTACTAATGTCCGAAAAATGTTGCGAACCTATTTTTTTTTTTTTTTTTGAAAGTTTTCTTCATAAACAATTATTTTTATATTTTTTTCTTTAACATTTAATTTTGAATATTGTTACGTTGATAATAACTTTAAAATTTTTTAAATTTCTTTTGTATTCTAATAAAATGTTAATTTTTTTTTTGAGAATACTATATATTCGTCACGAAATGTAACAATAAAGTACAAATTCTTTTCTTCCGAACCCGCAGTTTATTTTGGCAAAGGCGCAAGAATGTTTTTTGCCCAGGGGTTAATAGTTGATAATCTAGTTTGTTGTAGTTCCCCTTTTGTTTCGTTGACTTTGTTAATTAATATAGACACGATGTTTGAAGATTAATTCGTGCTTGACATGATTGGAATTGCTATTTTAATGTTTAATTTTGAAACGAGTCCATTTTGATGTCGGTAAGGTCGTTGGCCCAGTGGTTTACATTGTGGGCGTTAGTTTAGAACGTTCCGGGTTTGATTTCCCGCAGGAAATTTCCTAAATTGGTTCTGTTCTCTTTTCTTCTGTTTTCTGTGTTAGTTCAGTAACCTCTAGGTACTATGGGCATTGCCTTTTATAGTTGATTTGTGTAGTTTTACTGCTACTTCCACACCTAACTTTAAGTGACTAAGAACATTCCTTCTAACGCCAATTAAATATAATTTTTATACATTATTTTTTTTACTCTTTATACATTTTGCAGGTCTCTTTCAATAATCCTAGCAAACATGTTTTTCTTCTGTTATATAAAAAGAACACTTGCCTTAAAAATAAGAGATAATTCATCGTCACTCATCGTCATTTATCATTCCTTATTCATCGCTGTTAAGTTTAACATTAGGTG